TGACGAAAGCAGAGCTCAGTCTGAAAACTAAGCTCTCGGTGTTCAAGTCGATCTTTATCCCCATGCTTACGTTTGCTCACGAGTCATGGTTCATCACTGAAAAGCTTCGAACCCGGGTACAAGTTGCTGAAATGGGCTTTCTTAGACTTGTCGTTGGCCTTACGCGTCTCGACATGGTCCGGAATAGTGATATCCGGAAGAGCCTTGGTATACAGCCTTTGCTTCTCCAGATTGAGAATTCACAGCTACGATGGCTTGGGCATGTGTTGCGAATGCCTCCAGAAAGGAAGGCTAAGCAACTACTAGTTACCCAACCGACCTTCCGAAACGACGACGAATAACCTGAGGCAAGTGTCTTGAAGGATTTTACTCAAAACTCGGGTTATCTTCTGCCATAACTCAGAAACTGGCACAGGATTGGGAACGTTGGAGACACTGTTCGAAGTGCCTGTCTTCACGATCGGAAATGATAAACGGTCATTGAAACGGACCGAGTGAATGATTTTTGCGTAAGAAATCTCGTAGACGCTGAATTTCTACTTAAAAGGTAAAATCTGGGTGCAAACCCTAAGAGACAAGCTTTCGATTGTTTACAATAGTCATAAAAACAATTTCAGATACGCAAAATGTTGGTGTAAATACCTGTTAGTATGTTTAGATTTTCGATAAAGCTCACAATCGAATGATTTCTCGCTACTCTTAATGAGTACTTCAGAATGCTGATCTGGTTTTTATCTTATTTTCATGGTGTACTTAATTCTTCTGGACTGAGCAGAAGTAGTAATGGAATTTGTCATCATATACACGGTCAAAGAAAACATTAACATTAACGATCACACGAAGAAGTTGTCCGCAAACCTCAGATATACCAGGAGTTATAGCGAGATCAGACCTTTTTACAGCAGGAATGTCTCAAGATAAACCACATATAGATCTACGAAACCGTATTGAACGGAGGTCCCATACGAATCCTAAATTTCTGATGGCAAGTAGAACTTTGAAAAGAAAATCAGTGCCTTTAAGAATTACCTGAACTACCAAAAGTAGATCTTGCACTGAACGCTTGTTGCTTAGTCCGTTTTTTATCCTTCCTTAATATTGATATCTCCTTCCACACCTGTATGAGGAAATGTTTTCACAATACTTTCTTTCTGCATTAATAAGAACGATTATTCTCCATCGTCTCGTCCGTCACCGAAATAAACTGCTTGTATTTTTAGTTCCTACTCAATCGAAAAACTGAACGCTTATGGCATTGTATATCTAATTTTTTCATTATAAGAATGAATTATTTATCGTTTCATTTTGGGAATATCTTATTAATAAGCAAGCCTGTTCAATAATATTTAATCAATAAATTATGTGTTGTCAACCGCATACCAAACCAATCACATGCATAGAATTATGCACAATAATAGTTCTTTCCGGTGTTCGAACTTTACCTGACTTTATTAATTAACAGGAGAAAAACTATGCGAAGCTTTAGAGGAATCTTTGTTTAGTTACCGAGATTCTGGAATCTCAGAGGGTAGTCGTTTTGCAACAAAGAATACTAATAGTTAATAAAAGTATCGTAATCCGTACAATCAAAGACCAGTAGGCAGCTTAGTATTAGAGTTCACATGAAATAACAAAGGAAAAGAAAACGACATGAATAAAACAAACTAAAATCGAAAGAAGCAAAGGTAAGATCAAACAAAAGAAAATCAAATAGAAAAACTATTAATTAGAAGCTCAGACTCTCGCACAGGATCGGGAACGTTGGACGCTCTGTCTGACGTGTCTGCCTCCGCGACCCGAAAGGAGAAGCGGCGATGGAAGATGAAGAATATGAAACCATTAATTGTAAGTAACATTTCATACCTACATGGACTGGACTACAAATTATCTTCAGTTCACTGAAGCATGAACCAGTTACTACTCAGTACAGTAATATATACTGCAAATTTATGCATGAGTAATCAGGAAAAATCCGACAAATTTGTGACAGCTAATCAGTTACAATCTTGAGTATGAGCATCAGCAGAAATGTGCTATATTCTACAATGGCAGAAGGGCACCGCTACTCAAAGAAAATTATTGATTACCCACACAGGGCTTGTCTAAACAATGACACCGATGTTCATCTGCTACTAAGGGTCCAATGATGGAAAGCGTCAATAACTGAGTGTATTAATAGCGCGTGTACAACCCTAATTGAAACTAGAATTCATTAATACACTGTTCATCACATACCGATCGTCTGAAGATCATTCGAGTCTGCCAGGCACGAGAAGGCCATGTACTTTTGAGGCAGCTCCTCCGGCGAATAACAAATTTCCATCTCTTTGCATATCAGTCGGAACATCGACAAAGCAGTAACCGCAGCGCTGTTATCCAATGACCAAAGATACAAGAAACATATGGTCTAAAAAGAGTGAAAAAACTAGTAACTGATATCGAAGAGGGAAACTGGGTCACAAACCGCAGGAAAGTATAAATTAATCAAGTCAGTGGTGGTTTAAGGAGATGGAGACCGGTGTAGTATGATAATAAGGAAAAATATGAAATATGCGAAAAGACTATATTTACCAGACAGCCGCGAAATGCTTCGGCAATGGCGGCTGAGTTTCTAAAGCATCGGACTTGCTTCGTTAAGTTCATTGGCACTAGTAACAGAGGACCATCATCTTTCTTTCTTCTTAGGCACAAAAAGTACCGTGATATTGAAAAGAAATCAGGAGATTATATGCTATAGTTGCCACCTGGCTACAGACGTTTCCTTAAAAACGACCGGGCATTCCTAACTGATGTCATGGGAACAACTCCTGACGTAACACAGAACGTCGCCTTCAAAGAGTTTCACGCCCTATGATGGAAGTGTATGACAGGATATATTCAAACAGGTACAAACTTGACTTTTACTTTCCGCGCACTGCTGAACATAGCCAGGCAAAAAAGCAACAACTGATTAAATCAATAAAGAAGGATATGCCAATTTGAGTGTAAGGAATCAACAAATATTTAAAGATGATTCTAAAGTGGTGACTGTCTCAAATCAGGATCGCTGGACGTTATAAGGGTATATAGGAGAGAAACATTTTGCAAAATGCATGACAAATGTGGGTATTTTTTTGTCATGGTAACGCAAGGCCCTTTGATGCAACTGAATGAATTGAACGGTTTAATATCGTAAGTATATAAACGAGCACAAATCAACTACCAGTGATACGGCATTCCGGACCATTGCTTCCAAGTTGTTAGTGGGTAATTTAAGCATGCCATAATTTCTTAATATTTTATTACCCTGTAAGCGCGTTGATCAATGCGTTTAAATTTGTACATTGAATAGTATAAATTATCATAATCAATTTTTGGCGATTCGCTGCTGAATGAAGGTCTATCCAAGTTTGCCACAGACTTCTGATTTTTATCATTTTCATCCATCTTGATCCAGCGAAATTCTACAACTCATCCCCGCAAATATAAATATATACTTCTATTGAAATGTTTACTTTAATTTTATCATAACTCTAGGGTTGAAAGTTCCTGTCAATATTTAACTTATGTACCAACAAAACAAGATTGAAAACAACTAATGCGTAGACTCCGTTTCAGCATCAATTTGTTTGCTGCTCTCCCGTTCCGCGGTATGACATATCTCACTAAAGCAGAAAATACAACACCATGCTCAATAGCAGCCCATTTCACTCGATTGATTTGGCAAAGTGGGCTACAGATACTGAATGAATGAGAGTACCTGGTAGATAACGGTGATTCTGATAAGCCTCAAAACCGAAATACAACAAAAGTAGTAGGAAACATCCATGTTGCAGTTAAGAAGCTAAAGTGAGTATCTGTGCGCTGTCTGTCCATAGCTACTCTAAAACGGTAGAGTTACTGCACGGGAGGGAATCAGTGGGCAAATAACTATTACCACAGTGACAACAGAAGGACCACGGGAGAACAGACCCAGACTCCGGGCGTGCAACGAGAAAGTCCATGTAGCATATCGTGCAGAAAACGAAACATGACTGATTGCCATGCAGAAAATGGTGACAACGGTGAAAATAACCGTTATCCACTCAGAGGGTGAGACATGGCCGTAAAAGAGTAGACAGTGGTCTTACTTTATATATCCAAGGTCTTTACTAAGTACGTTTGGGAATGACGTTTTCTCTTCATGATTTGAC